ATTTATTCACTTAAACCCATTTACTTAATAAATCCCCCTTATCTAATTAATCCCCTTTATCTAATTAATCCCACTTCTTTGATTTATTTAATTAATCACATTAATGTGATTAATTGCCGGGATATCTAAATTGAGGAATTGATCATTGTACCCATTCTCACGTGAGGTCTTGGCAGAGTATTTACATCATGTTATCAGGCCTCACAATATATACAATTACATTTACTATTATGTAAAATGGAAATTAAAATATTGATACAAAAACAAAATAATTTGAAAGTAAGTTTATATTATTTTTATTATATTAGATATCAGATTATATATCTGATCAGACATGCAGTTTATTTAATCTGTATGCTTAATTTGTATGTCAATATATCATTATTAGTGCTCTGAAACAATCAGAAAAACCCAGGTAACTCGAATTCTAAACCTGAGATAAAAAATACATCACATGATTCGGATTTGTTCAAGTCTAACCCTATTTAATGATTTTTATCAAAAAAAATTTTTTTTTATTATCGTTACCATTATTGGTAATAATGTCTTCAATTAAACATAACAAATTTGGGCTTGATCTTGTTGAATCTAATACTGAAATCGAGATCCAGTCACTTATATCTATCACATCCAGCAGTAATAACAGTAATAATCCAGCTTCTTCCAGAAAACGAATGACTTTGTGAAGTAAGCTTTTTTATGAAAAACTTTTTTAGAAAAAGATCTACCACAAGAACACCCAAATGCACAAACACATTGTGAAGTGTTATGTCTTATTTGTCTTAGTAATGAAAAAAAAACTTGGCTTCAAAAAATTGATGATTCCAATACAACAAATCTTTGGCATCATCTTAAAAGTTATTATCCAAATAATGATCTAAGAAAGAATGATGAATCTTTAAAGTTTACACAATCTACATTCAGAGAATTAATTACTAAATGAATAGTTTTTGATAGTTTGCCATTTATAACTACTAAAAGTAAACATTTTCAACAAATAATTAAGTTATTAAATCCAAATGTACATGTTTCTATAGGCAATACAGTAAAAAACAATATTATAAGTAACTTTGAAAATGAGCATATGAATATGAATTGTTTGCTTCAAAATGTTCCAGGAAAGCTTTCATTCACAATTGATACATAGATATCAGTAAATGTTGATTCATTTTTCAGCATCACAGTGCATTGGATTTCAGAAAATTAAGAGCTTAAAAATACTTTATTAGATTTTATTAATCTTAGTAGTCCTTACTTTGGAGAAAATCTATATAGTGCATTTGTAGAAAGCTGTTGTAAATTTAGAATTTTAACAAAGGTTTTTGCAATCATGAGTGACAATGTCACAAATAATGATACTTTTATAAAACATTTGGAATGTGTATGTAAAAATGAAAGTATCAATTTTAATGCTAAGAAATCATATTGTTGATGCATCACTCACATTTTAAACTTAATTGTTCAAGAAATACTTAAGCAACTTAAAGCTAATAAAGCACAATATGAGAATATTATATTAGATAATATAGATGCATCTATTATAACCAGAGAAATAATTTCCAAGCTTTGAAAACTTATTATTAAAATTAGATCATCACCACAGTATCGAAAAAATTTGCATGCCAGGTTCAAGCTGCTGGTCTTTTAAATTATAATCTTATTCTAGACATAGTAATAAGATGGAATTACACCCATGATATGCCTGAATGAGCATTAGAAATGCATGAGGCATTAGATGCAACTACAAGCTTAGATAATGATCTCAAATTATTACAACTTAATAATGACAAATGGATTAAAATTAAAGAAGTAATAAACATTTTAAAAATGTTTATACGAACAACAAATATGATTTCATCAGCAAAGTATCCAATGCTTGCTTCTACTATACCTATTTACAATTACTTAATTGATGAACTTGAAATCTGTTACAATAATTCCAACAACTCTTATGAAATTGCTACTACAATAAGTGCAGGTCTAAATAAATTAAAATCATATTACATAAAAACCAATGATATGGCTATTTATAATATTGCGATTGTACTTGATTCATGTTTAAAATTGGGTTATTATGAGGAACACAAATGGAATCAAAATTTTATTGAAAACATTAAAAAGACCATTTTTAAAATTTATAGAAATAATTATGAATTGTGTTCTCATGAAACTACTAACTATAGTTAGAAAAATGATATTAATGATGATGATTCTCTTTTGGACCATATTTCTGGAAATAGAAAAAGGTGCAAGGTTGAACAGCAAAATAAAGTTGAATTATATCTGAGTACTCCACAAGCAAACAGAAAACAAGATGTTCTTAAATAGTGGAAGGATCATGAATTTGAATATCCATACTTGGCTATGATGGCTAGAGATTATTATGCAATTAGTATGACCAGCATTCTAGTCGAATGGATATTTTCTGAAGAAGCTGACTTAATTGACATTAAAAGAAGTTGTCTTGGAACTGACATTATTCATTCATGCATGTGTCTTAATTAATGATAGAAATAAAGTGTTATTTAGAAAATTATTTAAGGTCACATTTCATTATCTTAAAGCATAGTAATAATTATTAATTCATATATATTATCAGATGCTAAAGAATAATATAAATTGATTGTAATTAAAAGTGTTGAATTAAATAAAGTATTTTTTATTAGCATTAGTATAAAATGATTAACTAGTAAAAAACCTGGGTTTTGTTTTGGTCAAGTATGAGCTAACCCAACCAACTCCTGGACAACCATTTTGGAGCACTAATTATTATTAAAGAATATAAGTACTTATAGATTAATTCAAAATACAATTTCAAATAAATATATATTAATATTTGATAAATTTAGTTATAAAAGTGATTACAAATATGAAACTGTACAAATTGAAAGTAATATAATACATTTTACACTTGATGTCAAAACATGAATTTTCAAAAAACAATGCAACAATAAACAAGTAAAAATAAGGATATCAACAAGTGCCTATATTTTATTATAGTGTAATTAAATAAATTTTTTTTAATAGTTTAACTAATATTTAAAATTTTGGTAATAAAGTTTTAGTAATTTGGTTAGATAGAATTTTGAAATTATAAATTCAAAATTGAAAATAATAAATATAAATATATGCAGTTATATAAAGTAAAATTTAAAATATTAAATAGAACACAAAATTTATCAGATATTTTTAAAAATAAGAAAATTGGAAATTTTTTAAATCTACTGTATGCCTGCATAAACTTGCATTATGCCTAATATAAGTCAGAATTGTTAAATTTTAGAATATTTCAAACAATTCCAAGCTTTTGAAACATTTTTTCTGTACAGTGTTTTATCTCTAGATAGCATAATGGATATTAGATTTGATTGAATAATTATCTAAAATATTATAAAATATAAAAGACATATTGTTGTAATGTTTTGCAAGTACAAAAATAGATTGGCAGTTACAAATATGAATTGGCAAGGCCTAAGACTTAAAAAAAATAAAAGAATAACTTCTGATTTATTAACTGTTAAAATAATTTAAAAAATAATAAGATAATTCAAAACTTAATTAAGAAGTATTTACTTGTAATTTTATTATAGATATTATTAAAAAAGAACAATAGAAAAAGAATGTCTGTATAAAAAACTTTCTATGTTAATTCAACTATTCTTACCAAACAAAGAGACAAAAAAAAACCTAGTACTGTAATTTGTAAGATTATAAAGATGTTACTTATGACTATAACAAGCATAGTACTTCAATTGTGTCTTATTAAATAATAATTCCAAACACAAGTTGACATCTTGATTTGGTTAGCAAAGCTTTGTACAAAAAGCATTATTACAAATTAATAGTAAATGCCAAAAAAACAAAAAAGGTATATTTATATTCAAAGTATCAAAGTTATCTTTTTAAGGTTCAGAAATAAAATTTATAAAGAAGGCTTTAAAATGTTCAATTAACTTTTTTCAACTATCACAAGAAGCAGTAATGTGTCATTACTGCTTATATAAAACTGATGATGATCCAGAATATATTAACTTGTCTAACTACTTAATATTAATAAAAAGGATTTTGAAAGAAACATTAAAATTTTTCAAGGTAAGTCATATATATTATAAATAAAATTATTTATTTTTAATTTTAATAATACAAATTAGAATTTGCATATTGTGAGCTTAATTTTTAGAGTTACAGATGTTCATATTGAAATAAAAAAATGTTTATTATAAATAAAGAGTATTTTAGCTTTGAGAAAGAATAATTCTCACATTTCTAACAACAAATTTCTTAATAATAATAAATACTTAACCTTTGATAAAAGTAAAAGTTTACTCTATACAAACTAATAAACTATTATTAAATTCTGTTGTTATTTCTATTGTTCATTCAAATAAACTACTAAACTTGTTATTAAGGGGTGTGGTGATCTAGTGAAGTGAATAGGTTGTCAACCTTCAAGTGGCAGGCTAAGGTTTAATTCCTACAGACAACAAATTTTGGAAATTATACCTGTGTTATGGTAACTGTTTCTTGCCAATTAGTTGGGTTTTGGGTATCTGTAATCTTAGGTATATCAAGTCAGGTTCCACCTGATATTGGAAGCTTGAGGCATC